GTGCCTGCGAAGGAAGAAGCTTCAATTCCCGTGGAGCGGTGGAAGCGGCACTCAAACAATACTTTGCCTCACGCCCGGTTGGATTCTACCGCAATGGAATCCATAAATTGAGGGAACGTTGGAGACATGTTGTTGATAATGATGGACAATATAATTAATTATTCGGTTATTTTTTCTTTGAGAAATAAACTATTGAAAAAGTGACAAAGACTTTCCCGCCAACCTAATATATTTTGGAACTAAATGCAAGCCCATGAGTTTCTATTTTCAGATAGAAGGAAACATTTCTCATCAAATTCTCACCGCTGGATAAAAGTTTCGGGTTAATCAGCTGGAACGGCAAACACGACAGTTTTTAGATAACAGAGAACATAAATAGACCAAAAAGACGCTTTACAAATTTTCAAAAAATTGGTTTCAGAAGACAAAACAAATATTATAGAATATGTTAAAAAAATCTGATATAGTTTAAAAACATTCACACCTCTCTTAAGAAGCGAATTGTCAGAACAGGTGATTTTTCTCTCAAATCTGATTTCCTACAGAATATGAAAATTTTCACCTATTTCAGAATCACGTGTGTGACAGGAATCACAAAAAGAGAAACTCATTTTTGTTGTAGTCAGTGTAAAACAGATGAATCTGGATATAGATTTCTCTGAGCCCCACTGGCTTATAATCTATTACGATGTCATTGGAATTATTTCTTTTTTTCTTAACACTCTTGGCACAGCTATTTTTCGGTGGGAGCTCTATCTACCTATTTTGATGTTCCTACCCATTTTTGTATTGTAGGTTAATAACAATTGGATAGCTTGATATGAAAAAACATTCCAGATGGTTTGTGGTTTTCTTATCGTTACACTGAAAGAAGTACTCGTGTTATGCTTCCAGAAGAAGCATCAATATATTTCTGAAACATTAAAATATCACATGCTTCCTGGTCCATTTCGATATTTTTCATATTCACTATGTTTTGTTGGTCTTGTAAGTCTATGCGCAATTTTTTAATATTTCTATACTTCCCAAGAGAAACAACTGAAATATATAGAAATGGTATGATTTCGAGTGGGTACACTAACAAGTCTATTTGTATTTTTCATCATTGACATTCTTCGAATGATGTCTCTCTTGAAACTCAGATTATCTACAGTAACTTATCAAAAACATCATGAAGCCATTCACAGTTTACTGGTTCAATTTATAACATCAACTTTCTGTTTATGTCCTCCATGTATTCAATTGTGTATTTGGATGTTCCAAATGGTCAAAGTATTTTCAAGTTTTTGATTGCCTGGTTCACCAGTCATTCCTCTGTGATTATGATTTCTCTATGTTTATTCTTCCCACCTTACCGGAAGTTTTTTGTGGAGAAAACTGATAAGTGAGTTCTGAATTTGATAAAGCTACCGTATTTCCTCTAATAGAAGCCCACCTCTATTTGAAGCCCACCCTCTGACGTGCTTAAAAACATAGAAGCGCATCCTCTAACAGAAATACGGGCACTCTAGTTAGTTCAGTTTGAACAGTCCAGATCGTCTATTCGGTTATTGTGGACATTTCCTTCCTGTTTCAAAAAATTTCTGTTAATTTCAGTTTTTGGTAGTTTCCTGAGAAGGAGGTTGAAAAATAGAAGCCCATGGGCTTCAATTAGAGGAAATACGGTATATTTCCGCCTGATTTTAATACCAAAGTGGACACAAATTTTTCCAGAAACTGAAGAAGAATTGGCATCACTGCATCTTCAGCGTTATTTTGAAAAATGTTTCCAATATTGCAAAAAATATTGAAATCGGATCACAGATCTCGAAAGTCAAAATTCTCGATAATTCTTTGAATCTTCAGTTCAGCAAATTATTAAGTTTTTTCGGAAAGGTTTTGTTATTTTTGATTTGTTGTTTTAAAACGTTTTTTTTCCAAAATCTGGTTTATTGCCTTTGTACAGGTGATTCTCGACCAAGAGCGTCATCAAATGCCATAAAATCTTATAAAATGCTATAAATCAGAAAACATTTGCCTTCAAGAAACTACCTCGTTATTTTAGTTTTCTTGACTAGCGAATATGTCTTTCAAATAAACCTCACCTGAATGTCAGAATTCTTCTTGTGACGAAATCACAAAAAGAGCAACTCAATTTTGTTTCAGTCATTTTAGAAGTGGTTTGAAAATAAAAAAAACAGCAAACCTAAGATCAAGTCGATAAACTCCAAAGCCTGGTTTTTATCGATGAACATCGTCTGAAAACAGGTGAATTCTTCTTTTTTATAACGGATCTCACTGTTGAGAGCTTAAAATCTCACCTATTTCAGAATCACGTGTGTGACAAAAATCACAAAAAGAGAAACTCATTTTTGTTGTAGTCAGTGTGATTTGGCAATGATAAACAAGGAAGATAAAACTTTCATTCTTCTATATTTTTTTTTTTTGATTAATTGTCGACGAAATAACTATCGTCGATACAGTAAGCAGAAGAAGAAGAAAAGGAATCAATGATCAGAAAGATGTGCAAAAGGGTTTATGGGCGGCAATAACCCGAGGGCTTTTATGGGCGATCAACGGGAGATCGTAAAATATCATGAATATAAACACCATTTTCGCTGTATTGTATATCATTCATTTTTATCTTATTTTTCTTTAGTTTCTTATGAATAAAGGTTTAATTACCCAAGTTTGAGGCTCGACGAGAAAAGATCGAATTTGATATGGTGACCCAGGCACCCCAAGGGAGTGGGAGGATCCGCAGTCAAATTGGGATCTCGAAGAGACGTGTTGAGGATTGCCTGGATGAGGAGGTACAGGAACAGAGCGACATTGAAGGATTCAACGTTGATGATCTTCAACAATTCCTCGAAGATTTGCATGAAGACTTGCAAAAACTGCAAAAGCGCTGTCAGACTTTGGCAGATTTGGATCGGAAATGGAAGAATTTGATGGATGAGGATCTCTCAGGAGAAGAGAGAAAGATCCAGGAACAATATGTTGTTCAATATGGAAACTATTTGGAGACACTTGAACGTGGAAAGATCAGGATTCAGGTTCTGAAGGACTTATATGTCATTGGTCTCAATCGGATAAGATTATTGGATGAGAACAGATTGATTCTGTTGCCAACGTTGGGCGAACTATCCAAGGAAGGAGCTCAACAAGACGAACAAAAGGTGATTTCGAAAAATCCACCTGGGGAAATTCAAACGGCTGAACAGTTCATGGACAAGAGAACGGATGACAAATTGGGGGCAGTGCAAGCGGTTGCAGCTCCTCCGTCTAATCAACCCATTCTGGTGAATACATTCGGGCACATTACTTTGCCACAAATGACTCTACCAACGTTTACGGGAAACGTAATGGCATGGTATGAGTTCAAGGAATCATTTGAGTCGATAATGAACAGCATCAAAGTGGACGAGCTCACTAAGCTGCATTATTTGAAATCGGTCGTCAGTGGAGAAGCAGGAGAGTTGGTCAAGTATCTGCAAACAACTCACAAAAACTTTGAAATTGCTATGACAATGCTGGAAGAACAATATGGAGGGAAAGAACGGATTCAACATGTATTGCTACAACAATTGAGAGAGATTCCTGATGTTACATCAAGCAATACGGACGCTGCTACTCTACAATTGTTCATCACAAAGGCTACTTCCATTTTCAGTCAACTAATTGGTTACGGAGTTGACATGGACAACATTGCTACGGCGGACATTATAAAATCAAAACTTCCCAAGAGAGTGATTGCAAAGATCTATGGTGTAGCAACGGGAGAACTGCCAAAATCAGCAAAGGAACTATTGCGAAGAGTTCGAGAGATTTCGAGAGCTGAAAGTTTGGTTGCTGTTATTTACAACAATAAGTCGGAAAGATCTACAACTACTATGGCAACTATGAATCATCAAAATCATCATCATCAACATCAACAACGGACAGGATTTCGTAGAGGAGCTGAACAAGGAGTGCAACAACAATCTCGTTCGAAAGTCAGCAAGCCGTGTGCATTTTGTGTGGAGGATCGGATGAGGCACTACCCAAGAGATTGCAGGAAGTTTTCGACAGTGGAGTTGCGCAAGCAGAGAGCAAAGGAATTGAAGTTATGTTTCCGATGTTTACAATCAGGCCATACTGCTCGTCAATGTTCATACAAGTGCTATGGCTGTAATGGACCTCATCATGAGTCAATTTGTTTCCATCGAGAAGAACGATCAACTGAGAATAAGCAACAACATTCTGGACCAGTTGGACAACAAGCTGCATTTTCGTCATCACACGGACCAAGTGTTCCACCCTTCCATAATCAGCAGGGAGTCAAAGGATATTCTCAAGGCTCAAACAATCAATCAGGAGGTGGGCAGTACAATGGTCAAAATGGAGGATCTTCTGGTTATCAAGGTTATCAACGGAGAACGAAACCAAGAAGTTATCAACAAGGAAATGGGCAACAACAACAAACATATGCGGTGGATGCTTCTGTTGAGTCTGAAGATGCATTTACTCATTCGTCTCAATCGGATCCTGAACTTGATGATATTCCTATCAATACTGAAGCAGTGTCTCAAGTAATGGAAATCGATGCACAAGAGACAGTTGAAGTGATTGAAACACCAAGACCACCAGTGATCATGATGTCTGCTGATGTTCCGATTTTGGACGACAATGGAGAAGAGCATTTAGCTACCGTTTTCTTCGATTCGGGTTCGAATACCAGTTACATCCGAAAGGAGTTTGCGGAGCGTTTGAAGTTAAAACCAACTAGTCAGAAGAAGCTGAACGTGAATACATTTGCTCATCGAGAAACCAAGAGATTGCTGACAACTACTTTTGATGTTTGTTTCAAAACCAAACATTCGACTGCTACTGTTCAATTGTGTAAAGTGGACAACATTGCAAGCAACATTGTCACTGCGGAGGTGGAAAGTGATGTGTTGAAACGACTGCTGCAAGACCAGGATCAATATCTTCAGTTGAAACGGACAAGAAAGGAAGTTGATATTCTCATTGGATTGGATTCGTATTTGGAAATTGTGGGACAAGTGAACACTCTTCGATTGGCAAACGGGTTACAATTGCATATCACGGATGTCGGACCAATTGTTGCTGGAAAAGAGAATGTGGTGGATTCTGCTCTTACATTTTCTACACTTTCGGATGCAGATGTGGGAGACAAAGAGTTATCGAAATTGTTGCAATCATTTTGGGATTTGGAATCTATTGGCATAATTGACGTTAATCCCAAGGCGACTATTGATGAAGAGACTCAGGCGTTTTTCGATACTACCACAACTCAGAACATGGATGGTCGATATGTTGTTCGTCTTCCGTATGCAAGCAAGAAGGAAATTTCGTCTAATCGTCAACTGGCATTTTTTCGTCTCCAAGGATCTTTGAAGCGGTTGAAGAAAGATGACAAGCTGTTGGATCAATATGCTAATACTTTCAAAGAACAGATGACACTGGATTTCATTGAGGTCGTTCCAAACGAAAACCACATGGATGGCTGTGTGCTCCATTATTTAGCGCACCACCCTGTTTTCAAACAAAGTTCTAAGTCAACGAAAATGAGAATCGTGTTCGACGGCAGTGCCAAGCAGAACAAGCAGGATTTATCCCTCAACGAACATCTTCACGTTGGAACGAACTTACTTCCGGACATTGCAGCCTGTTTATTACGAATGCGCACGTTCGTTATTCTGATATCAGCGGATATACAAAAGGCGTTCTTACAATTGGAGCTCAACATTTTGGATCGGGATGCAACACGATTCTTGTGGATTGATGAAGAAGGACAAGTCATTTGCTACAGATTCAAGCGAGTTCCTTTCGGATTAAAGTCTTCACCGTATTTGCTCAATGCTACCATTCGTCTACATCTCTCCAAACAAACAAACCCGGTGGCAAAGGCAATGGCGCGGTCCATTTACGTTGATAACGTATACATCGGGGTGCAAACCATTCATGAGGCGGAGAGATTCTACCACGACTCTAAAGAGATTTTTCGTCAAGCAAAAATGAATCTCACACAGTATTGTAGCAATTCGGATAAAGCCAATGAATATTTCGCAGCGCAGGAGAAGACGGAAAAAGAAACTGGCATTCAAAAACTCCTAGGAGTCAAATGGGACACTACATCTGATGAGTTCATTTATTCCTTTCCTGAACCCAAAGCAGACACCATCACAAAACGAAAAGTGCTGAAGTTCATCGCAACTGTGTATGATCCAATTGGTTTTCTTTCACCAACAACATTGTTCGGGAAATTGTTTTTCAAGCTGCTGACTGAAGAAAAAATGTCATGGGATGAGATGTTGTCAAAGAAGTTGGAAGATCAATGGGCGGTTCTGTTGAAGCAATGGAGTTCTTCATCTTGTTGTTCATCTTGCAGATCTTCTCAGTGGCTTGAATACTAGCTATCTCATTACATCCCAAACCTTGTTCCATCAATAGAAAAAATATGACGATTGAAATTCTGTGATACTGGCGTCCAAACATTAAAGTGGATCCATTGAAACATGATGAAAAAAGAATCCAGCATCCTTGAAGAATCTTCTTGAGAATTCCGAGGAGAATGATCACCACCATCATCAACATTCTCAGCATTGATACACAGACATAAATCACATACATTGCTCCAAACAGAATCAAAATCTCCAACAAGTTGTCCGAAATGTTTCCATATTTCCAATACAAACGATTTTGAATATATTGGTCTACCTTTTTTGAAGCAGTTGTCGTTGGTGCCAACGAACTGTTGTTCCCGTTAATCGAAGAAGTAGTGGACGTTATTCTCAAAGTAGTGTTGTGAACAGCAGTAGTAGTTGAACAGAACAAAAGAAGCATCATAACCATTGTCAAAGTAGTGATAGCATTCAAACGATTTGACCTTCTCAATGTTCTTAAAGATGTAGACGATTCCTGCTGATTCCTTTGTTCCTTCACCACAAGATCCGGTTGTTTGGTACCATCATTCTCCGCAATTGCAGTTTCCAACGGATACAATGACTTCCAAGGATACTCCACAATTCTCTTTGTTGAACCATTCTTCACCACAGCCGATCTCGACTTGACTTCCACAATTCTCCCCATTGGCCATTTAGTCTTTTGAAGAGATGGAAACTCAATCAAAACAATGTCTCCAACTTTTGGTGTGGTTCCTGACGTCGATTTCTGATTCTGTCTTAATTCTCTTGGCATTTATCTTCTGATGTTCCACTTCAAAGTACTAGAGAAACTCCGTCACTATTTATTAGGATTTCAAATTGTTTGCACTTTATTTGATATTCAAATAAACTTTTTAACCAAAACTGTTCCCTGAAAGAAATGAATCCAATCACATTGTAATAGATAAAGTTGAAGTATTAGGTTGGCGGGAAAGTCTTTGTCACTCTGTTTGTTTAATCACTGTTCTCGTATATGGAGGCTGTGTATGATATCGACTCTAGTGAATAACAAGGTGATAAGAACCTTCCATATAAACAAGTCCCCATCTCCTTCCCTGCTCCTCATCTGTAATTGAAACGATATGTTTGTTCCCACTGCTATTCACATCAGACATGTTTTGATTTACCTCTTCCTATCTCACACCACGATGAAGGATTCGGAAACTTTCTTGAAGAATGTGTACAACACACATGCCCCTCACTACAATACTATTCGCAATTGGTTCCATCGTTTCGAAAAAGATGACTTCTCGCTCGATGAAAAGGATCGCTCTGGGAGACCCCGTGAGTTGGATTTGGACAAGCTGAAGCACGCATTGCAATCGGATCCATTTCAATCTAGCCGTGAACTAGCTGTCACATTCGGAGTTCACCATAGCACAGTCCTTGAAGGTTTGAAGTCTCTTGGAATGAGAAAACTTTTTGGTCGATTCATACCTCATCACCTGACTCAAGCCAACCTTGACCGCCGAGTGGACGATTTGATTACTCTTCTCACTCTCCACGCGGGCGATCGATGGCTGGACCGGCTAATAACCGGAGATGAGAAGTGGGTCTTATACGATAATCACCACAGGAAATCCCAGCGGGTTGGAGAAGGAGAGAGCCCACAGGATGTCCCAAAACCCGACCTTCATCCGAAAAAAGTTATGCTCTCTGTGTGGTGGGGAGTGGACGGCCCCATCTACTGGGAACTTCTGCCCGAGGGCAAAACAATAACTGGAGACCTCTACACTACTCAACTACGAAACCTCAAGAAAGCAGTCGACCGTTCGGCCCTGAAAGACAAGAAAGTGTACTATCAACATGATAACGCTC